ATCCATTCAACTTTTTTTTAAAAAATACAGACTCTGTGGTAAGTATTAGGAACAGCATGAAGCTGAAACCTTTTACCTGGCTTAATCTCAGTGTCCTGTACATTTTAATCAAAAAGTTAGATCCATTTTCAGAAATTTTTCTGAATAGATATTTAGGTCTCCAGTCTGAGGGACAATCAGGATGTGCTTATATTTAGGCCATAGGTGAATCCTTCCCAGGACCATCTAGAGAGTTCCTGAGAAACCAACCAGGTCATGGTGTAACTGCTACCCATGCTTATGCCAACAGAAGTCAAGGAACCTTTCCCCTTGCCCAAGAAAATAACAGGACTACTAATACAACCTAAGATCAAGACACTGAAGAAGAGTTACAGGAAATAGAAATGTTTCCCTGTAGACTTCAGGAGGCCACAATGGTCAGATCCAAATCAGCAGAGTCATGAGAAAAGTCATTTTAGGCTTTTCAAAGGAAAAAGATACGTTATGTATGAGATCCCACACATCAGTGGATGGAAGGTACCTAGAGGCAGAATTCTCTGCCAGGAAATCTGACAAGGACGAGCTGCTCCAGTCAATAGAGGCATCCCTAGTTGCTGTTGAGACTGTACCCTGCAGACCTAGGATTCCTAGGGGAAGGAGTCTTAACAGCCACTTCTAGGCGGTGGGGGCATCCAAGTGGCCTTGGCCCCTGGCTTCTGCTTGAACCAAAGCAACTCTTCTCTTTACTTATGGAGCTCCATATAGATTTAATTAGTTAAAAGGGTTCTACCCAAAAAAGGAAGGTGGGGGGATGGGGGGACACTGGGTTAGATAATGAGTTACTAAAATGCAACGAATTGTTCAGGCAATCTTGAGAAAGAAGAGTAAAGCTAGGAGTATCATTCTCTGATTTTAAACTATACTACAAAGCTCAGTTATCAAGACAGTATGGAACTGGGACAAGAACAGATACATAGACCAATGGAATACAATAGATAACCCAGAAATAAATCCATGCCAATATGGTCAATTAATATAAGACAAAGGAGGCAAGAATATACAATGGGGAGCAACAGTCTTTTCAATATCTAGTATTGGGAAAACTGGACAGCTACATGCAAAAAATGAAACTGGATCACCATCTTAAACCATATACAAAAATAAACTCAAAATGAATTAAAGATCTAAATATAAGAACTGAAACTGAAACTCCTGGAAGAAAACATGAGCAGTAAACTCTTAAACATCAGCATTAGTAATTTTTTCCAGATATGTCTCCCCAGGCAAGGGAAACAAATGCAAAAAAAAAAGTGGGACTACATCAAATCAGAAAGCTTCTGCATGTCAATAAAACAAAAATAACAACCTACTGCATGGGAGACTATATTTGTAAATGGTATATCTGAGAAGGGACTAATATCCAAAATATATAAAGAACTCATACAACTCAACACCATAAAAACAAATAATCCAATTAAAAAATGGGCAGAGGACCTGAAAGATATTTTTTCAAAGAAGATACACAGATGGCCAACAAACACATGAAAAGATGCTCTACATTGCTAATCATCAGGGAAATGCAAATCAAAACCACAGTAAGATATCACCTCACACCAGTCAGAATGACTGCTATCCGAAAGACAAAAAATAAATGTTGAAAAGAAAAAGGAACCATCACACACTGCTGGTGGGATTGCACAGTGATGCAGCCACTGTGGAAAGCAGAATGGAGGTTTCTCAAAAAAACTAAAAATACAAATATCATACAACCCAGCAATTCCATTTCTAGGAATTTACCTGAAGAAACAAAATCACTAATCTGAAAGATACATGCACTCCTATGTTTATCATAGCATTATTTATAATAGCTAGATTATGGAAGCAACCTAAATGCCCATGAATACATGAACAGATAAAAAAAGCGTATATATATATATATATACACACACACAATGGAATATTATTCCCACAAAAAGGAATGAAATCTTTCCATTTGCAACCTGGATGGACCGAGAGGGTATTATGCTAAGTGAAATAAATCAGAGAAAGACAAACACCATATGATTTCACTTTATATGCAGAATCTTAAAAACAAAACAAAGAAACAAATAAAACAAACTCATAAATACAGAGAATAGACTGGTGGTTACCATGGTGGGAGTGGGGGAGGTGAAATAGGTAAAGGGGGAAAATGTTGTTAGAATGTTTGCTATTTTGATCTGGGTGATGTTTACATGAGTGTATATACATGTCAAAATTCATCAAGCTGTACATTAAGATTTGTGTATTTTATTGCATGTAGCTCCATATAAATTTTTTAAAAATGTTTTTAATGCAGCAAAGGAGAAGGAAGTACCATTTAAAGGCCTACCAAGGGCCAGGCTAGCAGTCTTTCACACCTGAGTCATTCACATTACTACTTCTGCATTTACATTTGCTATGTGCCAGAGGCTCTGCCAAGTTTTGTATATGTTATCTCACTTAATTCTCACCAGCAGGCCACAAAGATCCTACAAGGGAGTTAGGAGCTACTATCTCTGTGTTAGAGATGAGGAAGCTTAAATTCAGAAGGTGAATTCACTTTCCCAAGGTCAGCTAACTAGTAAGTAAATGAGGTGAGGTTTGAATTTAGGTCTGTCTGGAGCAAAGCTGCTGATTTCTGCCATGTAACTTGCCCCATTATGAGCCAAAAGAGGAGTCAGCCTTTAGATGGGGTCAGTGTAGGATTAAATGAGACACTGTAAAGTGCTGAGTACAGTGCCTGGCACACAGCAGCTGTTTCACAAACAGTAGTCCTCATGCAGTTGGCAGCATGTATTGACTCCTTCTGTGAGCCAGGACCGGTGCTAGGTGCTGGAGCTGTAGAGATAAACAAAATATGCTCTTTGTCACTCAGAACCTGATGGTTGAGTAAGGGGAGAAAAACAGGCTGTTGACTAAGCATTCTGGAGGTCCCAGGGGCAGGCATGAAGCCTTACAACAAGCTCCTGAAACAATATGATATTTAAGCTGAGATCACAGGGCACTTAAAGGAAGATGAGAATAGAGAAGACTTGTAGTGAGGGAGCAGTATAAACAAAAGCCCAGAGGCAGGAACACTCTGAGTCCCATCACTCAGGAGAGGTGAGGAAACAGACCCAACAAACCCTTAGAGGCCAGCTTCCATCATTTCAAGCTCCTTGTAGTTGGCACACTTCTGTACCAGCCAGGGTGTGTGCATCTCACCGTCAGAGCCTTCCAGCCCAGTGGACCTGAAAGCTGAGAGGGACTGGGTGGGCGGGGAGGAGGAGGAGGAGGAGGCAGATATATGGCTGGAGTCATCAGAGGCAAGTAATGTATGTGGCGCCTGAGGGAGCGGCACAGTCACACTGTGGATTTGAACCGGCAAGCGTCGCTCCACTGGGATCGGCGCCGAATTATTGCTCCATATGAAACCCAGGACTGATGGGAGCTTTCAGTTATAGACTGATAACAACAGCCAAAATTGGATTGTTTGCTATTTATTTTTTTTAACTTCTGTCAAGGTCACTACTGTAACAGGAAAACACGCCCAAGCTGCAGGTATTTTTCATCCACTCTGCCCGCAAGAACAATCTGCAGCCACAGCTTTTGTGACAGAGCCTTACCTTGGCAAAGCTGCCACTGTTATGCGGTCTTAGGAGAAAGGAGCCTCCAGAAGACCCTGGTCTTGTCCCATTCTAAGACCTGCCTCCTTCCCCCATCCTCCAGCCTCCATAAATGCTTTATCATTGGACCCACGCCCTCATCCCTCCCAGCCTGGTCTCCAGCCCGTCCCACAGCACCCACCTAGCCAGTGCTCCAGTTTCTTCAAGCTTCCAGTCTCCCAGAGAGCCTCCCCAGAAATGTTCCACACTTTGTGTATCCTTCCCTTCCCTGTACCCCTGCACCACCCAGTCTAGCTGGTAATTCTCTCCTCTTTATACCTATCATCAAATTCATTTTTGCAAACGTTCACCATATGCCTCCACTATACCAGGACTTGTGCTGGGAATAGCAGTGAGTAAAAGACAGTGCCTGCTCATAATTAGAGCTCATAATTTAGAACAGATTCACAAACATGCAACAAACTTGTTTCCAAGTAGCTTTTGTTGGTTGGTTGGTTTTTTAGTGCTAGGTACAAACAAGGCTTGAAATAGGCATGCATGCTTTGGAACCATGAGAAAAATGGTTGATTCTGAGTAGTATTTGTGGAGAGGCTCTGCTTCACATCCCCTGCCCAACTTTGAGCTTCCTGAGGGCAAAGCCTGGCTCTCCTCTCCTCTCTCACAACATGACTAAGCTAAGACCTCCTCCTCCTGCCTTTTCTGAAGTGGACCAAGCTCAGAGCTGGACATATGCCAGGCACTCAGCATCATCTAGAACCTTCCAGGGGGACAGGTTATAGTCCTCCTCCTCCCCACCCCATGTCTCCATCATGGTATGCACAGGGTTAGGTACACAGCAATTGCTGAATAATTGTGTTTATCTGAGCAGTATTGTTGAAATTGAAGGATATTCTGGTTTGAAAACCAAAAAGGCTTTCAAGAGGGTAAGTGGAAAGGGAAAGGAACCTACATTTGTTAAGCACTTACTGCATGCCAGCCATGATGCTAGGCACATTATATACATTGTCATATTTAATCCCCAGTTTACAGATGAGAAAACTGAGGTGCAGTAACTTGATCCCGGTGATAAGCATATCTTGTAAGTGATAAAGCTGGGACTCAAACTTAGTTTTCTGTCAGACTCCAGGGTCAAAGGTTAAGGTTAATCTAGTGGTACTTACTTACTAGCAGAGTGAGCCAGGACCTCTGAGCAGTGGCCACCTGTGGGAAGGAAATGAGGCGAGAGCTGGGATGATGAGACAGTGGAAGGATGGGGCCACCCTCCAGTGGTCTTGAGCCAAAGCTGTGCATCAGGACCCTTGGAGACCCAGACTTGGGTTTAGATTTTGACCTAGGATGAAACTCGGTTACTAGTGCTCCTAACACTCCTAAGTCACCCTTCCTCTCTCCCCACAGTACCAGGAGAAGCAGCGAAAGTGGGAGGCCGAGGAGCGGCGCCGCTTTCCCCTGGAGCAGCGGCTCAAGGAGCACATCATTGGCCAGGAGAATGCCATCGCCACAGTGGGTGCTGGTAAGCATGTGGGTTGCTGGCCAGTGCACAGGGGGTGCTGCTGCAGTGAGCAGTGAGGCATACATCTGGCTGCCACTGTCCTGTGGGGAGGTGGCTAATAATATTAAAACTTGATGTTTGTGGAGCACTTTCTGTGTGTCTGGCATTGTGATAAACTCTTTGCATATGTCGTATCATTTAATCAAAGCAACCCTTTTTACAGATTAAATCCCATTTTACAGATGAGGAAGCTGAGACATGCAGCATTTAAATAATGGCTCATGGCTGCTTTCCTCTGCTTAGAGTTTAACTCTGACCTATATCTAGTCCACTGCCCCTGAAACCATTCCTTTCAGGTGAGCAAACAGACCCAGAGAGGAGCAGAAGTTTGTCTATTGCTAGCAATGTAGCCAGAGCCAGAACTTCTATCTCCTGTCTCCCAGCTTAGGACTCTCAGTATAGTTTGTTAGTATCTGGGTCATTTCTAGGAAAAACATCCTAAAGCAGCATGAGGGCCTTCTTCTCCTCCCCAACTCTTAGGTCCCATACTTTGACCCCTGGGAGCCAGATGACCTCTGGTGTAATCCCTAACCTAATGGCCCTCCTGTCCATGCAGACCCCACTGGGGAAAAGTACAAAACTAGGGTTCTGCTTGAGGTGGTGACCTCACTTTTATTCTCCAACTCAGGTACATGTCTCCCTGAAGGTGGTCTCAGATTGATGAGGCAAGGGCAGAAGAACCCAAGCCCAGCTCAGACAAGGGGATATCCTCCAAGGCAGCAGTTCTCAAAGACGGTCTCCGGACCATCAGCATCAGCATCCTCTGGGACCTGTTATACATGCAGATCTCAGACCTCACCCTAAACCTATGGAATCTCAAACTCTGCGAGTGGAGCCCAGCAATCTGTGTTTTAACAGGCCCCACAGGTGATTCTGATGCTCGGCTCAAGTTTAAAAACATTGCCCTGTAGTGTCTCAGTTCCATTCATGTTGCTTATCTCTTCTCTTCAAGTGATCTGGTCCCATGCAGTCCAGCAACTGCCATGGAGCACCAAGTTCTGCTCACTGATTAAAGGAGACATCAGACTGAAATTGTGGTGCCCCTCCAGGACTTTCTGGGGCGGCTGTGTCAGCCCTAGGATACCAATTAGAGGAGTAATTGAAAAATGAAGGCAGCCACCCCTGTGACACACTGAGCCCAGCCTGATCTCCATCATCTTCTCCCACCAGTGGGACTCATGTGGCAGTCATGAGCCCCTCATCAGGAGCCTGACCTCAGCAGCAGATAAAAGGAGCCCATAGAGCAGAGCTGCCTCACCAGCTGGAGGTTAGAAGGCTGCCTGCAGGCACACACAGGAGCTGAGGAAAGCTCTTTTTGTATACACTAGGTCACACTACTCAGGCCCAGACCACAAGACATCATGCTCAGCCACCACCTTGGATATGGCATCCCCAACTTCTTTGTCTAGGCCATGTCTGAAGTGGAGGGAAGGAAGACCCTGGGGGCTGCCAAGGGTTGAAGAGAGAAAGAACTGTCCACAGGAGAGACATTACCTGGGTGGAGATCTGAGAAAGCAGTTTCCTGTGGGAGTCTCATGTCCACTTGGGTGCAGCTGCCGCTGCCAACGTAGTGTTTTCCCTTTGCTTCCTAGATAGCCCTTTCCCAGCCAGCTATGTGCTTCTTTGTGACCTCTTCTGCTTCTCACCAGCTTCTCAAGTCCATGAGATGTGAAGCTCCCAGGTCTGGAAGTTGGGGTGGGGGAGGAGGAACACATTGAGTTCGAAGGAATTAGACCATCCTGAGCTCAAATAGCAGGTTTGCCACTGACCTGCTGTGCAACTCAGGGTACTCAGTCTGCTCCTTGAGCATCTGTTTCCTCACCTGTGTACTCCAGAGCCAAATTCAGGGCTGTCTGACTATCAAGCACATGCTCTTCCCAGCATGGGCCAGATAGCACTGAGTAAAACCGAGTCCCTCTTCTCAAGATGTTTGCTATCAAGGGTTGGGTACTATGTTCTTTAGGTCAGCCCCACAGTTCTTTCTTTCAAGCTGGGAGACCCTTAGTCCCATCCCAAGGCTAGCCTCTTCCCCTGATCCTACACTGACCTCTGATGCACCACCCACCTTGTCTCTCCTTGCCCAGAGTAAGAGTAGATGATTAGCTTCCCCCATCCCAGAGGCTGTCAGAATGTCTGCCCTGAGTGCTTCCTTCTACACAAAGCTCCCTTCTGTCACCTGAACTTGCATCAGATCAGGAAGGCCCTACGCCTCATTGTGTGGTGTGGAGGTTGACTCTGATGTGATTCCAGTGACCCTAGAAAAGACAGAGAGGCTACTGGTGCCTGGGCTGTGGGGCTGGTGCATTATCTCATCCATCTGTAAGGCCATGCTCTGACCTTCATGAGAAGCCCCGTGGCTGAGGTCACACTGAAGATGGTCACACCTTGGATATGGCATCCCCAACTTCTTTGTCTAGGCCATGTCTGAAGTGGAGGGAAGGAAGACCCTGGGGGCTGCCAAGGGTTGAAGAGAGAAAGAACTGTCCACAGGAGAGACATTACCTGGGTGGAGATCTGAGAAAGCAGTTTCCTGTGGGAGTCTCATGTCCACTTGGGTGCAGCTGCCGCTGCCAACGTAGTGTTTTCCCTTTGCTTCCTAGATAGCCCTTTCCCAGCCAGCTATGTGCTTCTTTGTGACCTCTTCTGCTTCTCACCAGCTTCTCAAGTCCATGAGATGTGAAGCTCCCAGGTCTGGAAGTTGGGGTGGGGGAGGAGGAACACATTGAGTTCGAAGGAATTAGACCATCCTGAGCTCAAATAGCAGGTTTGCCACTGACCTGCTGTGCAACTCAGGGTACTCAGTCTGCTCCTTGAGCATCTGTTTCCTCACCTGTGTACTCCAGAGCCAAATTCAGGGCTGTCTGACTATCAAGCACATGCTCTTCCCAGCATGGGCCAGATAGCACTGAGTAAAACCGAGTCCCTCTTCTCAAGATGTTTGCTATCAAGGGTTGGGTACTATGTTCTTTAGGTCAGCCCCACAGTTCTTTCTTTCAAGCTGGGAGACCCTTAGTCCCATCCCAAGGCTAGCCTCTTCCCCTGATCCTACACTGACCTCTGATGCACCACCCACCTTGTCTCTCCTTGCCCAGAGTAAGAGTAGATGATTAGCTTCCCCCATCCCAGAGGCTGTCAGAATGTCTGCCCTGAGTGCTTCCTTCTACACAAAGCTCCCTTCTGTCACCTGAACTTGCATCAGATCAGGAAGGCCCTACGCCTCATTGTGTGGTGTGGAGGTTGACTCTGATGTGATTCCAGTGACCCTAGAAAAGACAGAGAGGCTACTGGTGCCTGGGCTGTGGGGCTGGTGCATTATCTCATCCATCTGTAAGGCCATGCTCTGACCTTCATGAGAAGCCCCGTGGCTGAGGTCACACTGAAGATGGTCAGCTAATGTTCAGCTCCTGGCCCAGGTGAGGCGGAGGCACTCTCTGGGTCAGAATTTTGGTAGGCAAGCAGCAGCCAGTGCCTCAGGACCTCAAGACTGAAGCAAGTGCAGGAGAGAAAGGCAGATCTAGAGGGTAGGCCAGGCCACTAGACTAGTTCAGATGGGTTCTCTAGACTAGTAACATGTGTGCTAGGGACTGGCTGGGTGGAGCTTGGCACCCCAGGGGTACCATGAGGATGGGCAGCCAGAGAAGTGCCGCAGAATGAATTGATTTGATAAATGGCCATTTATTACCCTCACGAATTGGCCGAGACCAATTTTGGTCACATCAACCCCTGTAAGTGCTGGGATATTGATTTGTGCAAAGTAATACAGTGAATTTATCAGTGTGATCCCCAGCTGCAGGGCTTCTAGCAAGGCTGGTGCACAGTTACCGCCTTACAAATGGAGGAGATGAAGCACCAGCCCCACTTTCCAGGCCCTCATGGCCTCTCTCTTCTTTTGGGGTCCCTGGAGCCAAAGCAAGGCCATGCTGCACACCACCAGCCAGGGCCTTGGCACTGAAAGTGAGGCTCACCTTCCAAAACCTAGAGCCACTCTTGGTGACAGGAGAGGGAGAATGCCTACCCTGTCAGGCAGACCTCTGAGCTCAGAGCCTCTGTGACCTCACCATCCTCCTCAGAAAGGCAGCCAGTGACTATTCAACACACTGAGAGCCAGACTGTGCGCCCCCACCAACCTGCCCACCTCCTGTGTTCCTGCCTCAGTAAAGGCATAACCATTCACTGGTCTCCTAAATTCCTAAATAGAAATGTAGACATTTCCTGGCCTCTCCTTCACTCTCACCACTTATAGCCCATCAAGTATCAAGTTCTGTCATTCTGCCTCTTAAGTGGGTCTCAAACTTGGCCTTTCCCTCCATTCTTAATACCACTGCCCTAGCTCAGGATCTCAGCATCTCCCATCTTAACCATACGACGGCCTCATCACTGGTGTCCCTGCTTTCCTTCCTTCCCAGCTGGAGTGAACTTTATAAAATGTAACAACTGCCCTGTTTAAAACCTTGGGTGGCCCTTGCTGCCCTGGCCCAGCATACAAGGCCCGCCCCTGCTGTCCGTCCTCCCCTGCTGCCCCTGCTTTGCACAGCGCACACCAGCTGCTGCTGCTTCCCCACACAGGCTGAGATGCTGTCCTCTCTCCTTCCGGCCCTTTTTCCTCCACAGCCCTGCCTGTCTCCCGCACTGTGGCTGGTTGTCACTCAGCTGAACTCAGTTCAAGAGCAATAGACTGTAGACTCCTAAGGGCAGAGACCATAACTGTATCATTTTTGTTTTCCCCACACCTGGCACAGCACTCTGCTCGAAGTAGACACGTGGTACAGTTTTGAACTAATTAATTTGGCATGGCACCTTGTCCATTTCTGTGATGTGCTCTGAGGATGGAAGAGAAGCTGTAAGCCCGCACTCAGAGTAGCTCACCAGCGTACTGGGAATGTGACTGCAGTGCAGTTGTCCATTACAACACCCTCACAACTTGACCTTTGATACCATTGGTAGAGAGGCCACTCCCCAGA